TAAAACATTCTGAGAGTTCGAATAATGAATTGAATAATGATAAGTGGCATCTGTCTAAAAAACATAGCGATTTAGAGTGATAATTTGGTTAAATAAAATTTAGAGTGACAATTAATTTTATTATTTATTTAATTGATTAACATTAATTTAAAAATAAGTCCCCAAAATGAATAATGAATCTCTCTTTTTGGTGTTTCTAAAAATTTGAGATTAATTTTCACTTCTTACTTCAACAAAAGGATAAAAATATAATATAAGGCCATATCAGCTTCCAGGGCCACGAAAAATCCGATGAACTAGCTAGGCAAGGATCATGGGAATCCTTTCTTAGTCCTAGCAATACCCAAATGAAGTAAAACTCTTGACCAGAGGAACGTCCACTGGAGAAACAGACATGGGCACAGGAATAGCAGGGCCATCATCCAAGGACCTAATTCCAAAACCAGAAAGGAACTGCTTAGCAGGAATAAACTCAATCTGTATCAAGGGAGTCTTTGCTGTAGACTATATATGCGATAAAGATCCTGAAACAGAAAAGCACATAATTTGTCTGCGAGGCTCTGAGTTGCACACATTTCATTTAGGAAAGCAAGGTTAAAATTGGAGGAACTATATGCTCCCAAGAGTAGATATTGAAAATATGATTCCAAAAGAAGTTAAAGAGATATCTAAGGAGAACAATGATTTTGTAATCATATTCCTAAAAGCTAAAACCGTCATCGTATTATTATTGTTTAATCCGCATAAACCTTATTGATATTGAATGGAATTTAACAGAGCGTACCTAACACGTTTGTATTCTCGTTCCAGATATCGACTGAGCCAAAGTCTATAGTCGCTTGTACGTCGGCATAAATAGGGAAATGTTGCCGGCGGTGTGGAAATGGACAATGGAAAGTTATTACTGCGAGAAAAGCCCATCACCTCCAAGAGATTAGCCATAACAGGGCCGATTATACTGTAAACAGCGCTTCGTTGATTTCATTATGTTGCGGCTATAGGCTGTAGTTTGGGCAGCCTGAATTATATATGATTATAGACCAATTTTTGGTAGATTAAGCCTCTCCACTCTTTGTCTCTAGTATATTGTACAGGGTGGCGTCTCTCATGCGAAGCGGAGGCTCCAAGGAGAACGACAGTTTATATTGAGGTGAAATTTTATGCACATATGTAGGTTAATTAAAAACGAAACAAAAACAGGGCGTTCCATTTAAAAAAATTATCCCGATCCACCCACACTTTCTTGAGCCACCCTGTACAAGTTAAAATATTTTCCTGAAATACATCCTAGTACATACTTTAGGTTTGCACTTAAACAAAATTCTCAAGTTTTTATTTTATTTTAGGAGCAATAGATGCCCGACGCACTATTGCCGAACCCTGTATATTAATTGATTTTCGGATTCTAGAAACAAATTTTGATGTGTCATTAGAAAAGCATATGAATATAAAGCTTTTTTCTTTTTTTAAGTTTCATTAGCATATGACTAAAATGTAAGGTTTTTGACATATTTAACATTTAAAGAAAAAAAGTTAAAGGTTAGGAAGTTACAGGGTGGTCAAAAGTGCTGCTAATACCTTAGAGAAAAGAATGGTAAGGCCGCCATCAGTTAAAGCTACCTAAATTGGTACCTAAATAAATATTAATTTTGTCTAACTCTGTATAACTTTCTGTGTCAAGATTTAAGTTGATTTAAAGTACAATCGTTATTTTATCTACATATTGCGGGTAAAATTTGATAACTTTTATTGAAATTTCAAATTTGCTCTTCATTTTTAGAAAATATTAAATATGTCAAAAACCTTTCATTTTAGTCATACCTATATGTCTTATGTTAATGAAACTCAGCTTTATTATTCTCGTAGAATCCAAAAAGCAATTAAACAACTATTAATTTACTTAGTTTAACTAAATATCTGATGACTATATAAATGTTGACTGACAAACCAACTACCATCATTTATTTTTGCTTCTATCCAGCGAGTCTGCTTCAATTGGTTAAAAATTACGAGAAAACAACATAAAAAATCCACTGTTATCTGTTATATATACCTGTGTCTATACTAATATAGAAAATCCTTAAGTGACTGACATACTGATTAATCACGATCCTGCTCAAACCACTCAACGTAAGAAGCTCAATTTTGGCATACAGGTGGATTCTAGGGTGTAGAGGTTCGATAAGAAGGGATTTTTCGAAATTCCAGTTCCAAGAGGGTGAAACCACCCCTCAAATATTACAATAAGTTTTATTTAAAAAACGGTCAAGTTTCCGAAAAAACGCTTAAACACGTATATTTGATTTTGTTTTTTTACATATTTTAAGATTTTTTAAAAACGTGTAAAGGGCGTTTCGAAAAATCTGGTCATGATTAATCACGATCCTGCTTAAAGCGCTTGACGTAAAAAGCTGATTTTTAGAAAACAGATTGACTTTAGGGTGTAGAGGTTCGATAAGAAGGGATTTTTCGAAACTCGAATTCTAAGGGGGTGAAACTATCCCTCAAATATTAAAATATTTTTTATTTAAAAACCGGTGAGTTTTTCGGAAAAACTCTTAAACAAGTACCTATATTTTATTTTGTTGTTTTACATATTTTAAGATTTTTTATAAATTTATACAGGGTGTTTCATAAAATATGACCATTGAGTAATCACGATTCTGCTTAAACTGCTTGACGTTGAAAGCTAATTTTTGGCAAACGGATTGACTGTGGGGTGTAGAGGTTCGATAAGGAGGGGTTTCTCGAATCTCAAATTCCAAGAGGGTGAAAACGCCCCTTAAATATTACAATATTTGTTATTTAAAAAACGGTTAGTCTTTTGGGAAAACGCTTGGACAAGCATAATTTATTTGGTTTTTTTACATATTTTGAAATTTTTTAAAAAATCATACAGGGTGTTCCAAAAAGTTGGGTAATTTTTTAACCACGATTCTGCTTAAACTGCTTGACGTAAAAAGCTTATTTTTGGCAAACGGATTTTTCGAAAGTCAAATTCCAACGAGATGAAACTACCCCTCAAATATTACCCAGTTATATAATAATATCGCCATATTGTTTTTTCTCATGCTGACATAAATGTGAGAAAATTTTATCCACTTTATATGTTAATGAAAATTCTTGCTTCGCTTTATCATCACCATTACAAATGATTAATTTGACGCGAACGAAGTCGCTGGTACACGCTAGTACTGTATAAAACAATGTCAATCGATTGTAAAAGCAATCCTTAATCAATTTACAGAGCGTCCCTAAAGGATGTACAACTTTGTCAAGCTGAAATACATACAGATGAACTCCCAAATGAGGCAGAGGCACGGTAAAAGTTAAACACAAACAATAACAAACCGCAAAGTTTGCCTAATGTCAGTTGGCGAACTTTAAAGAAGAGCAATTGTCAAAGCTTAATAGGCCGAACGCCGAAATGCGAAAACATCTAAATTTACATAAGTCGAGTCAAACGATCAAAGTTTGTTCCTCAGTTTAAATTTCTTTTAGTTTTATATGCTTTATCTCGTTGCTTAAATAGCTACAAACTAACAGAATGTAGCTGAGAACGTGAAAATATTTCGGATGTCTTCAGCCGTAGTATACATACATACACATTGTGAAAGTTAAATGTAAAGGATTGACTAACCGTGTACAGGGGTGTTCCATTTTCGTGTGATTTACTGGGTTTCTCGTTTGGAGATGAGTAGAGTTACATATATGCGGTATTTTGATATTGCTACTTTTTTATGAAACCGAAGATGCTACACACAGATTTGTCCTAACCCTCTTAATTCCTGAAATACAGGAAGAATTTTAAAATGTTGCAGTTTTCGACCTCTTCGTATTTTGTAACTAGTTTTTCGCTGAAAGCTGTCATTTTCAAAAGATGACTCAACCTAACCAAACCAAACTTTTTTTTTAAATAGGACACCCTGTATATCATCTTTTTTTTATTTGTCTTGTTCTGAGCTTTTTAAAAATATAATATACTCTATACTTATTTTTATAAATAAAGTAAAAAAATGCATTACTTAACTTTTTAACATACCGAGTGCGTCTCAAAAGTGGCTTACCCCTATAACTTTTTTATTTTTTCGGATAAAAAAACGAGATTTGGTATGTATATCATATATATAAATAGTATATGACATAAATTAGGATTGATTGACATATTCAATTGTTTTCGAACTTTTGACTTTTAAATGGCACCCTCGGTATGTTTTACTTTATTGGATAGAAAATGACATTTTGAATGGAATGACATATCATATGTCAACTTTTGACATTTTCGCATATGGTTTATTTGAAATTGTAACATGCGGTTCATAACGACAATTTGACTCGATATACCAAGTGTGTGGTATCAAATTATTCGTAAAAAAATGCTTTTTTCAAATATGCTAATGAGCCACCCTCGTTCCATTTGAAAAAATTGAGGTATGATTAAAAATACGATTTGGGTATCTTTGAACCAACCAGGACAAGGCACTAAAAACATTACATGATCAAATCTATTTTTCCCAGGCTCCTTGCTTAAAAATTAGTGTTGTTAACACAGCCATGGCACTCTAGATTGAAGTCTAAAATGCATTTTTGTTTTAAGCGAAAATGTCAAAAGTTGACATATGATATGTCATTCGATTCAGAGTGTCATTTTCTATCGAATAAAGTTAAAAAATACCGAGGGTGCCATTTAAAAACCAAAAGTTGTAGCCATTTCCGGTGAAACAGGAAGTGACCGAAAACAATTGAATACGTCAATTAATCCTAATTTATGTCATATACTAACATACCAAATCTCGTTTTTTTATCTGAAAAAATAAAAAAGTTATAGGGGTTTTGAGACCACTTTTGAGACGCACGCGGAATAGGTGGCCGCGGCCGGTTTAAATTAGGTAATCAAAACAATCGAATAAATTATTCGATGCCCAATTTTGGTTATTAGTTATTCCAGGCTAGTGCCTGTATCATTTCCTGTTTTATCAAATATTTAATTCAACACTTACCAAATACGTTAACTCTCAACTTCTTTCCAAAAAAATCTGCTGACGATATCTGAAAGAAAAAATAACTGCATTAGAACGTACGTAAATTATACAAACATAAATTCAAGTTAAACTATTTCTTTTTCTCTATTTGGTATAATAATTCTACAGAGATAGACAAGAAATCATTACTACAATATTTTCACAGTGATTGCAAAAGTAGCAAAGAGTGAGGAGTTGGTTTGGTAAATTATCATAAACAGCGAATTTCACATTCACTATTTATTTTCACAGCGAATAAAAAATCACGTTACCAGGTACACCAATGGAATCAATATCTAAACCCAGTCCCACACAATGTGGCAAAAACCTTCTAACGTTGACATCAACGTTGGACGCATCGTGTAGGACCGGCTTAAAGGAAATCACACATCAAATTCGCTATATTTTAGAGCATAAGCGAATGAAAATTATATTCATCCACTGCAATCATGAGGCTAATGTGTAATGGAAATGAGAAAATATTCATTTTAAAATCTTGAAAATAATAATCATTATTTTTACTACTTGTGGAATTATTTTAGATAAATAAAAATTGTATCACATAAATAACGTGTGTGGGTGTATGTATTTCAATAAACTTAGAAAATGTCTGTACTTTTCAATTTTTTGCCATTATTCGAATAATTTTTTTCATATAGTGGAAAGGATTGAAAAGAAGACAAATAATAAAAAAAACATTTGAGAAGAAACAAAATAATAAAATACATATTTAGAAACACGCCTACGTTCGAAAAGTTCCCATCCTCAATCCAAAATTAAAAAACTTTCCTGAACGTTAACTAGAAGCATTATTATTTACTTTATGAACTTATTCAAAACTAATAAGATTTCCGCCACAACTTTTATGTATAACTACTTCTTCTCCGGTGAAGAAAAATAAGCTTCTTCCCAGTCGAACATAACTAAAGTTCATTACTTTAACTTTTTATAATGTTTATTAATTTTATTTCAAGTCTATTATTTTCTTGTTGTACTTTAATTCTTATGATCTTTTTATTACTAGCATAGCATATTTTATTTTTCTTTAATATAATGCCCTTATAAAATATTTATCAAACTCTGTAGAACAAAAACTTTCAATATTTAATTCTCAGCTAATCTGGAAATATAGTTTTTATGTCTGGAAAATTTTAAATTTTTCATTTAGTCAGTTTAAAAATTTAACAAAAACTATATACAATGTGACCCATGAGAAAACTTCAAAAATTTAAAGAAATCTCATCAAATAACATTTTTGGGAAGAATATTTTTCTTGATATACTGTATACAAGATGTTATTCAACCACCAACTTCAATTGCAATATTTATCTATATTTTATTCTTCCAATTTTGTAGTTAATTTGAACAGAAAAAATACTAGGACATAGCAGATATAAGCTTATAATATTCTGATAGTAGTAAATCTTTTGACTGTTTTTCTGTCTTAGCTTATCAGGTCTGTCGTGAATTTTAGGAATGTTCTACTATGATATTTTTCGTCTGTCTCTGTCCTACAGCTACATTAGTTGATTAGTGAATGCTTTTGCAGCGCCGCAGGTGGGTTTTGGGCTTATGAATTGCACTGATGAGCCTTGTTAGGCCATTTCTTCTACCTTTTCGTTACCCTTGTGACCCTCGTGTCGTAGTACACCGGCTAACGTAACATGGCTACGCTTACCCAATATGTTGAAAGCACGCACATAATCCCACACTAGTCATAGAATTCACCTCACTGGAACCGAGTGCCTTTAGCACTGCTTAGCTGTTTGTGAAGATAGCCATTGAGCGGTGAATTCTCTGCTGCCTTATGATTTCTTCTATGCAATAATGGATTGTCGTTATTTCCTGGAAAATTATGACATCCTTGGATAGACTTAAGAGCAAAGATATTCCTTTTTCCGGTCCTACTATTCGAGCTCCTACGGCTTCCGACGTTCTGGAGCTATCTGTCTACCATATTACCTCAGCTTGAATGGGCAATATGTATATATATTCAGTCTTCCCTTCCTGGTATAAAGATGTTAAATTTGTTGTTAAAGCCTATGTTTTGTAGCTGTTGCATCCAGCATCTATTGCTACTGATTTTCGCTTTTTGATTAGCTTCTGGTTTTCAGCACTATGCGTCTGGCTTATGTGCTGCTGATTTCCCAGAGGTTGCTCTGACCACCGATCAGCAAACGTCTCTACAAGAGGCTATACTGGACGAAGTAGTCGCGATCGGATCGCAACACAACCATCTACAAAATGTGGGTCAGCTGCGTTTTGCGGGGATACACTTTCGGGTAGGCATGATCCTCATAGATTGTGTATCTCAAGAATCGGCGAATTGGTTGGACCGATCGCACCTAAGCTTAAAAATTGGCAAGGGCCGGAACTGGTTGCCGTGAAGGGAGAAAACATCCCTAAAGGAGTGGCCATGACGGTCTTTCTGCCGAGGAGCAAGGGGAAGGACACCACCTACCTGCTGAGCCTTATCCAGAATCAGAACTTCAACACTGAAAAAAAGGATCTCTCAGTCGAAATGAATATGCCTTTGACCCAAAAGATTGGCGCTTTTCAATAGGGCCAAGAACGACGTTTCTTTGCCCACAGCATTAACTATCTTTTCACAAGCTTTAAAAAATTACTTTAGAGAATAGAAAAATCTATCTGTCCAAAGTATTTCACTCTTGACCCAAAATGAATATGCAAAGAAGTACTTGCTACAAGAACAATAGTCTCTTTGATTCATGCAAAAATTCTTGATTGAAGAGGGACCATTTCTTGATTAAAGAGACACTTTCCTTAAACCAATAGCGAATACTATTGACTCAACTAAAATTTATTTTGATCTATGAGAAGTATTTTGCTACAAGAACAATAGTCTCTTTGATTCATGCAAAAATTCTTGATTGAAGAGGGACATTTCTTGATTAAAGAGACACTTTCTTTAAATCAATAGCGAATACTATTGACTCAACTAAAATTTATTTTGATCTAAGAGAAGTCTATACATTATATACAGGCATATTACGAGGTATAATATTTTCTGATAAATGTAGGTTTTCCTGGTCTGTAGTAAGTAAAGTGATATTATTTTCCTCGAAAGTAGTTATATCTGCTTCTTCACTCCTTGGTATTCTTTGGGATGGTTCATCAATCTACAAATTACAAAAAAATGTTACATCACGATTAATCAAAATAAAGCAAATAAATTATTAATATTATAAGCTTTGGTCACATTTTGAATTTTTTAATACGACGACTTGAAATTCTAAAATTTTTGTAATTATTTACTTATTTATTATTCTTATTCTATCTATAGTCACGCATGCATTATCTAAACAGGTGCATTAGGTAAATGTCTCTTACCTTCAAATATAGCAAATAAATGCTCTAATTTCCATGTTTTTCAGAAACTCCTTTAAAGAATCCATATATCCTAAAATTTGTCCATAAAAAATGTTAATAACGATCACTAATTTGTGCAAGCAAAATATGCAAAATTCCAAGTGGAAAATTCCAAGCAACAAAACCTGTGCGTACTATGGTGTGCGACCTATGAAATGCGACATACGACTGATCGAACTGCCGCACAGTGCTTCGTCCCATGGACAAAAATCAAAAAATAAGTTAAAATTTACTAATATCTGAATATATAATTTTATACCTATAGCAATGTTCAACCATCCTGTATATTATTTTTCATAAACAGCGTTTTTGTTAGCAAATATTTTCACTAAAAATAAATTTTGCGATCATTATCTCATCAGTGAAAAGAATAACATTCATAGTAGTTCTGTATATTATGGAGTTAAACGGGTACGTACTTAATTGAAAGACACTATGGATATTGTTAAACAAGGTATGTACTTTAAATTTATTTCTAAACAAGTTCGTGATTGTTTAGTTTTTATTTATTTTTAAGATGATTCTTAAATGGGTATAAAATTTTACGTTTTCAAACTTCAAAAGGCATTTAAAAAAAACATATCAAAACATATCGTATTTATTGAATATTTTTGTTGCCATATTCATACACTTTTAATTTTTGTATAGTTCACCTGCGTCTGCTTGCGACGAACTTTATTTTATAATACTTTTCAGATGGAGTAAGATTGATAAGCAATGCCGATCTGGCTAATACTTGGCTTGATCATAAGGACAAGAACTCAAAATTATTAGTATTTCAAAAAATATGTTCTTATTAGATATTGATGAACCTTCCAGTCAAATGAGACACCACTTGTGCCTGAAAAAGTCCACTATGTTGGAGCGAAACGTCGAATAAAAAAAGTGTCCATCTTTCAGTTTATTATAAAATCTCATACCCAAGAAAAGGAAAAAATAATATATGCATATGGTCTATTAAAGAGGTAACTATTAACATCCGAACCCCTCATACCGACAAAATGAACAGTAACAACGCGAAAAAGTAACATATTAGAAAATGATGTACAGAAATATCTTATATGTGAGGATACTTCATCTACCTGTGATTTAGATACTATAAATTTAGAAGATTCTGTCAGCAGTGATTCTCCTGAATCAGAGTAGTTACGATCTATGCATTTTGTTGTCCTAAAGTAAATTTATAGCATCTTAATTTTTTTTTTAATTAAATATAACATTAATGTTTCTTTTTCATTAAAGAAAAACATTTTTATCTTATATTAGGCTTATATTGTAGGAATCATGTTCTAATGTTATTTCAATTCTTTTTTATCACAGGAATTTATTTAATCCTTAGATGGAAACGCTCCAACATTATTATTATTTATAAGATTTTTTTTTCATAAACGTGGGACTAAGAACATCATCATTTAGTACAATGAGAGTACTCATCATTTGTGTCAAATAAACCTAGTTTGAATAAATTGCTTACAATAAAAGAGAAGTTTTGGATTTTTGTCCTCTAGAGCCATATGTTCGAAGCACTGTGTGCCGACTGATTGTATATACCGTCCTTCGTCATCGTCTTTGCGTGTAGTTATTATTTTTCATCAAAAGAGTATTTAGCTATTGGAAAAATGGCCATGTTTCTTGAAT